TATATATATATATATATATATATTTGTATGTATAGAGGAGAGAGTAAAGAACTCGGTATTAGACAATATCTAGCTGAGGAGTTGATATTGGAAATGCTTCGTTCTTGGGTGTATATACACCGCAGCCTAGACGGTATAAAGCGAATCTACTATATATATATATACATATATATATATATATATATATATATATATAGTTCGTAGTCTTTTTTTCTTATGTTTGTATGGCGGAAAGAAAACTTGTATATCTTATGTATGGATTTTGTTGTTTATAGAGAGCGCATCGCTTGGGGGTTTAATCAATATGTAGCTGAGATAAACTCAAACCCTAAACCCTAAACCCTAAACCCTAAACCCTAGACCCTCCCAGCAACCCTAGAGCAGCCGATGCACTAACTGCAACAGCTGTATACTGTGTTGGGTAGGCAAAGGAACTGAAATGCAGCAACCCGCCTATATAAAGTTTTATTTGTTTTTATTATAAAAGGAGAAATACTATTGTTTACTTCGGGGCTCTAAAGAAGCTAAAAAGAAAATAAAAACAAACAGAGTAGCGGCGGGGTCCCCTCCTGCGGCAGAGACGCACACAGAGACAGCCCGAGGGGCAGGCAAACCCCTATTGCACTCCACTGTATTTTTTATATAAATGCATGCATAAATGCATGCATGCATAGCCGCATGCATGCGTAGTTGCATGCATGCATTTACACTGCAGGGGGCGGGCTGTACAGCCAGTGTATGTACACCGCAGGGAGACGCCCCCGGTGACCCCTCAGCAGAGAAGCTGCTGAGTTTCGCTACAGTTAAAATATTTATTGCAATAAAAATTAATTTAATATAATAATTTTAATCATTTAAAAAATAATAAAAAGAAAAAAGAGAAATTTACACACAGAAAAGATGCAGCAACTGGCTGATGGGGTGGGTGTGTGCAGAGGGTCACCGCGGGCGTTCTGTATGAGCGGCCGTATGCATACACACTAAATATAAAAGTTAATAAAAAAAAACAAAACAAAATATATATGTAAATTATAATATATAATAATATATAAATATACAATGAAATATATTACTGTACACTGTCTATGGCCGCTACAAACCGACAAGCGAACCGTCAGGTGTATGGTGACCTCTGCACACAAGCAAAGCTAATAAAGCTGCATATATATTTAATATTACATAATATTGTATATTATAAAAAAATAAATTAATTAATATTATTATTGTTAGAGCTTGGCGAAGGATCTGATCTGTATACACTGCAATCTCTGTGTGGTGCTGAAGTTTACACTCTGTACAAAAGAAATACAAAAACCCTAAACCCTAAACCCTAAACCCTAAGCTCACGCCGAAACCCTAAACCCTAAATCCTAAACCCTAGGCCCACGCCTAAACCCTAAACCCTAAACCCTAAACCCTCTCACTAGCGACAAGAAAGCCGCGCTAACAAACACACAGATACTGTAGCTTGCCCCTTCTAAAAGTGTTTTATATATTTCTCCTTGCATGCAGCAACGGGTGGTTATTTGTTCTTCTGTTTGCTTTTATACTGCAGCAGCAAGAGCTCAGCTGCTGCAGATGCCTGCTGCTGCTGCTGCTGCTGCTGCTTTGCTTCTTCTCTCCTCTCGTCTCTAACGCAGGATAGAAGGGGGAGGGGGGGGAATATAAAAGCTGCTAATTTATATTTTTATATTAACTCTTTTGAATTTGTTGTTGTTTATTTCGTCTTTATTGTTTTTTATTTTATGTTTATTTGTGTGGAAATTAAGTGTATATTGACTCTGCTGTTTTTTATATTATCTTAATTGTTATACTGTATTACAAAATATTTATTTTATAGTTGTGTTTTATTTTGTGTGTGTGTTTATATTATAATATACTATAGTATACTATACTTATGCTACTATGCTATTTTATATTAGATATATATACATATATATATATATATATATATATATATATGTATATGTATATATATATATATATATA